TTATATTATGTTTATTATTCATATTATCCTCATATATATTATTTTATTTCCTATTTTTTTCTATAATTTATAATATTATGCTGTTATTTTTTTTTACTTTATAATTATATATCTATTATATATATATACGTTTATATTTTTTTATTAATGCATAATATTATTTTTAGTTATTTATATTTAATTTTTATTTTGAATATAAACTTGTCTTAATTATTTTATATATATGTATATAACCATGTAATTATACTTTGAGTACAGTTTTATAGATAAAATACCTGAATAATGAAATTTTGAAGATATCTATTTAATGAATTTATATAATCGATTATATTAAAAAATATTATTATATTTATTATATATAAATTAATATTGATAATATATATAATTATAGTTATACGTAATTTTTTAACTTGTTATTATAATAAAATTAAAATATATTTAAATATAAATTTAATTTTTTAATATGTAATTGATTTTATTTTTTATTATGAATTATTTTATTATATTTTAATAAGTATTTGAAATAAAAATTTATACAATTTGTAATTAATTAAAAATTACTTTAAAATAATTATTAGTAATTTTAAACTTTAAAATAATCATAAATTATTTTTTATATTTTTTATATAAAATAATTTTAATATATCTCGCAATTTTATGTATAATATAAATTAAATTATATCATAATTTATATTTATAAATATTTTATCTCAAGAGTATTTTGGTTGTTATATATTTTAAATTATTATTTTAATTCCTTTATTTAATAATATCTTTTACAATTTTCCCACTTATATTTCTTTATTTTTTATCTTCAAACAACCCTACTTTTTTTTTTCCACTTCTTAATCTAAACACAAATTTAATTAAAAATATTAGGTTAAGATAGATGATCGGTCTATTATTATTATTATTATTATAATAGACATTTAAAAAAAATATATATATATATATATATATATATAATTAATAATAAAAAAATACCATAAATTAAAAACTTTTAAAATATTATAATTTATTAGTTATTTAAGTAAGTAATAAAAATATTCATTTTATTTAATATTATAACAAGAAAAGAAAAAAATAAAATTATAATAATTAAAATAAAAAATAAATATTAGGTGAACTGATACGGGTAATTTAAAATTATTATTCAACTAAATTTTTTATTGATTAAGCTTTTAAGACAATTATTATAGAAATTAAAAATTTTATTATATATAATATTTTATAGTTAAATGAAAATTATGTTCATTATCTAGTATACTACTTGCAATAATGCTTAAATTATTTTTTAATTTAATAGACTAAAATTTTATATTATATTTAATAATATCAATTTCAATCTTATATGAGCTAATTTAATTGATATATTTGTTAATAAAAGATTAAAATATTTTTTAAGAATAAATTATTATTTTGAAAAAAAAAAGGTAGTGATATTTAATGACGAAAAACATAATAATTCAAGGGAAAGGTACAAATCTTTGATAATTTGAAATTTTTGTTTTCCTTTTTATACTATTTTTTATTATTTAATTATTTTAGCTTATAATTGTTTTTATTTTTTTTATCCCGTAACAAAACTAGGATCCATCGATATTTTGGGTGTTTCTCCACTTTTAATATAGTGATTTATTTCTTTCTCAAATCCTCTTATACCCTTCCATATTTTTATTTAAAAAATAAAGAAAATTTTACTTGATCAAAAAATTTAGGTTTCGTCTTTATTTATAAGTTTTTATATAAAACAACTTGATAATGTTAGACAAATGCATATAGATGGTGAATAGATGCACAAATTAAAATAAATGTCAAATTAAAAATTTATTTGTGAGTCAATAATTTGTTTGAACACAGATAAAACAGAAGTCATAATATAATCAGGAAAAGAAAAAAAGATAAGGGAAAAAAAAGAGCATACAATAATTTATACTAGTTCGGGTATAACCAACCCTACATCCAGTTCCCAGTCAACTCTTAACACAAGAGTGACTCCCAATTCAATATCTTTCAAATTTAGTTTACAAATTACAATCAACTCAGCAGAAGAATCAATAAAATGTAAACTAATTAAAAAGACAATCACTTCCTTAGAAACCCACTAAGGATGAACACCTCTCTAGAATCCCACTAGGGATGAACACCTCCTCTGAACAAATCAAAGGATGATGAAAAACATCTCCTTAGAATCCCACTAATGATGAACACCTCCCTAGAATCATACTAGGGATGAAAACCTCATTTGAACAAATCAAATGATGAAAACACCTCCTTTGCCACCAATACACAAAGGATGAAGGTAATAAAAATACAGACACACCTGGGTAATGGAGACAACAAATTGTAGAAGCCTGTAGAATGTCAATCTCCAAGAACAAGTGTGATTAACAATGAAAACACAAAAGACAATAGAGAAGAGAGTTTTCTCAAAACGTGTAAAATATCTCTCGTTGCTCGGAATTATTTTCTCAAAACTGATTGAATGTAAATTGTATTTTTGAATTATGTAATTATGTGTTTTTTATTTTTCATCAAAACTTAATTAAATAGAAAAATAACATCAAAAAATGGTTGTTGGACATTAATATTTTTGTGAATAAAAGTCGGACTATATTTAAAAATATTTATTCTTCAAAACAAATATATTTTTTTAAATTTGAATTGTCATAATTGATTATGTTACCAATATAATCAATTATGACATGATAAAATCATTTTTCTATTTCTAATGCATCATAATTGATTATGATAGTGAAAAATATCATATTATGAATTTTATCACACTTGTGCTTTAGAGGCTTATGCATAAATATTACTTCATCAACTTGTACCTCCATATTCAGTATTCTAAGACTCTATCTAGTCTTTAGGAATCATCTTGGGCTTGCTTGAATTATCATCTTTATCAAAAATATATCTTGGACATGTAGGGAAATGTTTCACATTTTCACCAACGTCATAAATTCAGTTTGTCCTTAATTCATCTTGAATGGTGTTGACTTGAATGTAGTTGACTTAAATCGTCATCAAAATAATCTCTTAGGAATATATGGACATTTCCATCAATCTCCCCTCGTTACTTTTAGATAATGGGTACCATTTTTTAGATTAATCTTCACCAAGCATGCTCTTATATAATCCTTTTCAATAATATACATAACTACTCTCCTTCTTTATGCTATTTCAGCTACTTAAAATCACTAATCATTAAAGAAATGAATTAATAGATTCTAAATTACTTTTATAACTATTGATTTGGAATAATCCAAAGAAACCAACTTTTTAAGATATGAAATTTAAAAGCTAAGTAATGGTTTTCCAAACATAACAAGCATTTAAGGGAAAAAATGAATCACTCAAATGGATGAATGAAAAAAATCATTGTATGATTAATCGTTTAGCTTAATTAATAAATTAGTTATAATAATTGATTGTCAAATTAATATTGAGCTTAAGCCATTACACTAAAATGAACATTTTATTAATCCTTTTTATTTGTAAAACATCTTAATATTTTCAAAACTAAGGCAGAAAAATAATGATATAATAAAAAAAAATTAGTGAAATATATTTTTTTATGCTTGAAAATAAAGTAATGTGGAAAGTTTTGAAAATAAAAACATACAACAGTCATTCACTACAACTTGGACAGATTGTATTATGGAAAGTTTGCTTTTGTTTCTCAAGGGTTCCACTCATCAAAGAAATAGTAACAGTGATTGATCTCACGGGATCACACATGTAATCTTCACATAATTGAATACAAATTTGAAGCTTCAAAAACAAATATCCAGGTAGAAAATTTCTATTTTCCAATTTCATCGTTGTATTCGTATTTTAAACATAAAAATATTTCCTCTTTATTCCGAAGATAATACTTCTTTTCCTTCACCCAGCTGTAGTGTTTTTCTGGGATAGGTCACAGTGTCCTTTTCTTCTATTGGGTTGGTAATTGGTCCTTTTCTTCATAGGTCTTTTTCCCCCTTAAATTAAGTTCCTGAGGCTTCTGGAACAAAAGTAATAAAATAATAATAATAATAATAATAATAATAATAATAATAATAATAATAATAACAAAAACCATGTTAGTTCATTATTTTCAAAATATAATTTTCATCTTAACTAATTAAACTGATGTTAAAAAATTAATATTAAAAATATAATTGAATTATTTACAAAACAAGGTATCTCTTTCATAATTGAATTAATTATGATAAAGAAAAACCAGCTTTTGTTAGCATGGGCCTGCTTTATATTAAGCTCTTAAACATTAACCATTATAAATGATAAAAGCATGAAAATAGTGGAGATGCGGGGTATCGATCCCCGTACCTCTCGCATGCTAAGCGAGCGCTCTACCATCTGAGCTACATCCCCATTTACTATTATATGTAGGATATTATAAATATAATCATTAAACCAAATACAACTCTATTTAACCCTCGTCAAAATATGTTTCCTTAAGTTTTTATTTTATTGAATATCAAATATATCATAAGTTACATTATTAAATACTTTTTAAGTATTTCTTACTAGATGTGTATGTATCACTGCTTTTATTTTATGTATATTGTTAGTGGAAATAATTTTTTACTTGATGCAATTTGATTGCTGGAAAAGCTGTTAGGAAATGCATTTATATGTATTAGTAAATTAGTTTGTGAAAAAAAATATATTGGACTCCTACAAATTTATTGAAATTAATATACATGGTTTTTAGTTTAGGCAAACCATATAAAAAATACATTCTTTGTTTCATTTGCATGGGCCTACAGCGTTACTCTGTTAAGTGGTCCAGGTCAATCCAGGCCCAATTTATCCAAAAGAAGAAAAGTATCCGAATCAAGAAATGGGAAACTTGGGGAACAAACCCATCTATTTTTCATATTGCAATGCAATAATTGAGATTAAGAAGACTCTGTTCGGCCTTTCCTATGTTTTAGGTTGTTGGGATGTGTTTATTCTCACGATGGAATCATTCATAAGTAGTGTAATTTTTACTTGAAGAAAGTCTTAGAAATAAAAATGACTAGAGTCATCACAGAGCTTAGTAATCGAACAAAGAAACTCCATAGCTTTACGTAGCCCTCTAGGAGAGGATGAAGCCAAGACGCAATAAATATGCTGTAAGCTTTCAAAATCCATGTTAGTATTACATGAGGACTTCTCAAGAACCCTGCAGGAACATGCGCATGTGTATGTTCATTGAGATCTTTTGGATGGTTAGAAGGAAATGTAAAATCTGGGAACGATGACTTACACTCTGTTAGATTTGGAAAGTCGTCAAATATTGCAGTCACGTTTTTCAATAGGGTCTGAATTTCTCAAGAGGAAACGGCGGAAAAAGAAAAACCAAAACAAAAGTAACATACGAATATCAGATATGAGATGATTGTGCATAAAAAGGTAGGGGAAGAATAAGGTTGCGTTCGATATCATAAAAATTAAAATACCAAGAAAGAGTCAATTCGTGTATCGGGGCTTACCAAAACTATGCTTCCTGGTTTTATAGGTGATTCGGTTAATACCTCAGCTCTCCTGAATATACTTTTATTGTGAGCATCCATATGATTTACTACACAAAGAAAAGACTGGAATTAATTGTTTTGATACGTACCAAATGATCAGGTTCTTTCCCAATTTTGTTAACTTGAAGAAGGTGCAACCTCTTGTGAACGGGATTTGTTTCTCTTTCCATTCTGCCATACCACAAACCGATGATAATTTGTTTCTCAAGAAACACTAAACAAAAACGAGAAAATTAATAAATGCAGGAAAGAAATATGACCCATGTGCCAGTTAGCTGCTGCAGTTAAATCATCTCCCTCGTATATATGCTTCACCCTGAACTTCACGTTCCGGCCCATGCATTCAGTAAGCTGTTCTAAGAACTGCATTACTTCCTGCAATTAATATATTATTTTCAGACAAAGTAGGAAAGGAAAAACTATTTGTTTATTCTTTGTAATCAACCATGGCTTAGTTTTGGTAGGAACAGACCTTCTTTCCCTGGAATGGTTTGGTGAAGGCGTAGTCTTCAAAGCAAGCATCTTCGGATATGCACTCATCCAATTGTCGCAGCTCTTTGCCATTGATGTTTGTGTAGTACTGATCTACAGTTTCTGCTGGAGAGGGAGAATTTTGCTGAGAATCGGGACCTGTTTTTAATGCCATGGCCAAAATTCTATTTCTACCCCAAGAATTGTTTAGGACATTCTTCTTGACGGTGTGTCGTTGCAAGTTGCATTTTGTTGTGCTGGGGGGGAACCTGATGGCCAACCTCTTTGTGATGTTGGAGTCTAGTCCCAGGCAATGATATGAAGTTCTGGTTGGCAAATTGATCACAGCATCCATTTCTAAATTTTCTTACCTAAACATTACCATTGACAAGCAATGGCAACCACCATAACCCTAATATATATTGTACCTATATGTGACTTACATGAGGAAACGAACAAAGAGCTTTCTCGAGCTTTCTCAAGCTTTAACCAAAGAATCAGTCCCTATTTTGCTTAGCTCCTTCATTTGTTTTGCTGTATCTGACTTCACATGAAATCCAAGAATATTTATCTCATTTCTTCCTCCACCTTGGAATTATTTCTACTATTTTTAGGGTGACAAAACGGTACGATTCGTCTGCGTCAGTTTTGGGCCTGGGCTTGTCCTCACATAATCATGATAATCCGTAAATAATATTTTTTTAAAAATATATCCTTAATTATATAATTTTTATTTTATTTATTAATTAATATTTTTAAAATAATTATATTTATATATTAAAATAACATACAACGATTATCAATCTGTTGGACTCACAGGACTTCATGATAATTTTATAATATTTTTCAGACTGGATCCAAGCCTGATCCGAATAGTGGGTTGGCTCGGCCCAATTCATTAGCTTATTCTACTGCATAGTCAACACCAGCGACAACCCAAACCCAAATTTCTATAATATATTTTTTAACTCACACATGAATATTACTGTTTGAGACAAACCACAAGCTAAGTAATTCCGCACATTTCGAATTCTTATAAATACAGTGTTAAGTAAATATTTAATATATGTTTAGATAAGATTATCAGTGTCTTGAGTATTAAAATCATATACATGTTTCAGTTGTCTCCTGATTAATTATGAATAGGAATAACAGGGGAAAATATTAGGGACGGATTCCAATATTTTTCACTTTAAAATGTCAGAAGTATAAATTATATATTTCCTGAGAACTTAAAAAAGAATTAGTTATATATAATCAAATTTTTGAATATAATAATAATAATAATATTATTATTATTATATAAGTATTCTATATTTAAAAAAATGATTAAATATATATATATAATAAATTAAAAATATATTTAATTAATAATAATTATAAATTATAAATATTTATTTAAATATAAAAAATATATACAAATATTAAAATTAATTTATTATAAATGTAATTATTTATTTAAAAATAATATAGGTAGGGGATAGGATTGAGAGGGAGGATGAGGCTGGTTGACAGTGAGTACAATGAATTTCATTTATATTTTTTATTATATTGTCATAATTTATTTTAAACAAATGAAACATCTTTCGGGTTTGCACTATTGCTATCTAATTTTTTTTTATGATAAATTTAAATAATTGAGAGAAATTGAATCAATAATCTCTAATTTTAAAATAAATATTAACTTTTTTTAATAAAAAAGATAATTACACCATTCTAATTTTTAAAAGATTTTTTTTCTTGTCTGGTACGACCCGCATTATGTGCCTCCATATTCATTGACTTAGGAGCAACTACGTTGAGATGTTCTAACGCAATAAAAAAGCATCGGAAAAATCTATCTGTCCATGTCCTTGTGTCAACCCTAACAGGAGGCAACCGTCAATCTTACCTCATAACATAATAACAATAATTAGGTCAAGCAAACACCACTTAGACAAAAAAAAAACAGTAATTCAAGACATATCAAACAGAACCAGTGACAAATTATGATAAAACGGAGATACCAACCTTCTTTTATTTTTGTATTTGTCAGAACTAAGAATATTGTGCAGCGGTGGTGGTGTTCGATATCAGCGAAACAAGTTTTATAGCCATGTGACACCGCATCATCATCATCATGTATAAATAACATGGAAAATGCTTCATAGACACCAAAATAACATAGGAGTGTATATTAATATTTGTTTGACTTTGAGGCTCGATAGTAATATATATACATCCAGCTATTGTAGTAGACACTGAAACTGAGGACAACGAATAAAGAAATGCAACGTGCTCCCCGAATTGGTGCATGAATTGTTAACAAACATATCCATCCAAGGAATAAAACAAGCCGCTACAAATCATTCAATCTGGTGGAGATACCACTGGTTTCAAGATCCCACTGATTTACCCGCACGTGTTCATCGCTCCTAGTGGTTGTTGAGGCTGAAAACAACATTAATACTATATTTTTTAAAACTATATATATATAAGTCTATGATGATTTGTTTTTGTTTCACTCAAGATCAGAAAGTATGGATTAGACGCTGAACTTGTCATGCGTTGAGAGAAAAGGAATCTTACACGGTAACACAAAATAGCTGGCATGCTCCCTAACACCCACCAACGAGACAGTGCTGCTTCACCATCTCAGCCCACGGGTCTGTCTTACCTAAATATAATAAATAGGGTTTTCAGGGTTCTACTCTATATAAACTCCTTGGTACCTTACATTCCTCTTATCCAGCTCTTGACAGAAACACCTTCTGCTACCTTCATTCGAAAGATAAGTTTGTTTATAGTAAGAGAATGAACTACAGAATGGGTCGTGTTTCAGCTGCTGAATTTGCCAATAGAAACAGGTTGAGAAGCCAAAAGCCACTTCCCAAAAGAGGGCAGATAAAGTCCAAGATAGCAGCCAATGCTTTTCATTCTATCATATCTGTAATTTCCAGAGCCTCTTCCTCCGGTTTCAATTCTCCAAGGAAAAACTAGTTGCTGTTGTTATGCACGATTCTTTTTTATTCCACTAGTTGTTCACTTTCCTTTGTAATTTGTATTCCCTTTTTAGGTACCTTTCCATCTCTGCTTTTTATTGTTTTCTCCCTTTCTCAGTTATAGCTATCTCCAGTTTTGAATGTAAAGTCAAATAGAAAGGAACTTTTTGTCCATTTCTAGGCTGTGCTATGTACTTGATCTAATATTTCTTTATTAGTAGCTATACCATCAAGGTTAATTGGCTACTAGGAACAATGCAGTGCTTCTTATCAAAAAATTAAATCATGATAATTTGCACGCTTAATAAATTTAAAAAACTTGCAGTTTGATCACCTGCATAAAAAAAAGTAATGAGTTCTATGGAATCTGAATTATCAGTTAGTTGTTAAGTCCAGTATCGGCCCATAGTTTATTGGATGAACCCGGATACTCGATATTCCAGGCAGGCCCATGTTCAACTTTTGGAGGGTAGGAAAGATAAGCACTTTGTTTTGATAATTTTTTTTATTAATATTTATAATAGAGAAAAATAAAAGAAAAATTATCAAATTATTCTATAACTCAAAATTAACTTAGGCACAAATTAAAAATAAAAAATAAATTGTTTATATAAAATAATATCTTTAAGATAATTTATGCATGATTTAGATTTAGTTTATAGATAAAATTAATTTTTTTTAAACATTTATTATAAAATTATCGATATATAGATATAATTTACTGTGGTTTTCTGTATATAAAAGTATTATTATTATTATTATTATTATTTATTGGTCTAATATTGTTTATATTTATTTTAATAAAAAAAATGGCTAAAAGTGTTCAAACTTAAGATGTAGAACGCTAGGCCTATTTATAAATTCATAAAAAGTATATATTGAGAATTTGATCGTATTTAACTTTTTGAACTTAACTAATTTCTCATTTTTTAAAGTTAAAATACTGTTTTATGTTAGTCATCTGCTTCTGCTTTATTTATGAAGAAAGGTTGACTTACTTTAATGCATGTATAGGTGGTGAGAATACCACAAGATATGTTATTAACATTGTTATAAATTTTGTAAAGGAAATATTTGCACATAAAGAAAATATATTTATTATTTTTACAATATATAAGTTGGTGAAGATTATCTTGTTAAATATATAACATTTTTTTCTTTACTATGAAAACCACAATATGTAGGTGCACAGATAAAAAAAAGGGATAGTTTTACAAGATGAGGTGTTAACAAACAATTCCAAACTCTATCACAATGGTTTTCTGTATTGTTCTAAAACATAAAACAAAGATAATCACAACTTAGTAATATTGTTACATAAAATAAATTATAAATAGTGTGTAAAAATTAATCCGTTGGCAGCCACAGTTGTTGATCAACTAAAAAATTATGCTATTTAACAATGACTACGGGCATATCATTTTGTTGGATGAATAAGCAGAAAATTTTCTTCCACTAATTTCAGTAACTGATAAGAAAAAGGTATTCTGTGTGTGCACCAAGAGTTGTTGGACAAGTCATAGAAGTTGACATTATATATTGCTTTCCTTTTTTTCCCTTAAAAGGTGCTGGCTTTTTTGCGGATTAATTAAGAGACTTTGGTTTTATTAAGAACAGTAACATTACCAAATAGAAAAGAAGTTTTAGAAAAAGAAATAAAAGACTAAGCACAGGGTTCTATTGTTAATGTTATGTTCACTACTACAAAATATGCTTTCAACGTCGCCATTTAACGTCGGTTCAAGCTGAGCCGACGTTAAATACACTTTCAACGTCGGTTGGTTAAAAAACGACGTTGAAAGTTGAATGTTGGTCACATTATACGTCGGTTCTTAGTCAAACGACGTAGAAAGTACTTTCTACGTCGGTTCCCATATGAACCGACGTTGAAAGTATTTTTTTATTTTATTTTTTACTTATTGATAGCGGTTATAAGGGAACCGCTATCTAAAGTGTATATTAGATAGCGGTTATAAGGGAACCGCTATCTAATATACACTTTAGATAGCGGTTCCCTTATAACCGCTATCTAATATGCACTTTAGATAGCGGTTCCCTTATAACCGCTATCTAATATACACTTTAGATAGCGGTTATAAGGGAACCGCTATTATATTCTCTCAATTATGATCGATCATTTCAAGTTATGATCGATCAGAATCTAATTTCGCTCGAGCGAGGGTAGTGTTGCTCAAGCGAAATACAACCCGAGAATGCTAATTTTGTGCAGGGGGCGTTTCGCTCGAGCGAGAAGGGTGTCGCTCAAGCGAGATACATTTTAGATAGCGGTTAACCTGGAACCGCTATTATATTGTTTCAATTATGATCGATCAGAATGCAGTTATGACCGATCGAACTATTTTAATCGATTAAATCTCGTTTCAATCGATTAAAACAATTCTACACATGATGTTTTAATCGATTAAAACTTATTTTTATTAGTTAAAATTACTTGAAAAGTGTCACGCGAAAGTTTTGCGAGTATTTCAATCGATTGAATCGCGAAACAATCGATTAAATCAACTTAGAAGATTTTTTGTAAAGTGTTTTAATTGATATAAACGTTGTCGTATCAGTTAAAACAAATCTGTTAAAGAATCAAGAACGTATTAATGGATTAAAAGAAGTTTTAACAGATTAAAACTGCACTTTTAACATATTAAAAGAATCTTTTAACAGATTAATTAAACCAACGAGTTTTGAAAATCTTCTATAAAAACAGTTTGGCTTGAACTTTTTTAACATACATTGAATATATCATCTTTTACACATCCTTGAGCAATCAATCAATCGCTAATTGCGACCGAATTAAAGTGGGGTTTGGCTCGAGGTTAGAGTTCGACGTCACTAGGGTATGCGTTAGGGTTCGAGCTCCGCTGGGTTTGCGTTGGGTTTCACGAAGCATGACAATTGGGTTTGGCTTGACATTGGGGTTCGATGTCGCCAGAGTTGGGGTTCGACCTCGAGTTCGTCGAGGTTGAGGTCAGGGTTGAGATTCGAAGTTACTATTTGACATTTTTCTAGTAGTGATAATTACACGGATATATATTTATTTGTATATAAATATAATTTATTTGTAAGTTATTATCAAAAAATTCAAGTAGTTTAGTGGTTGGAGTATCAGCCTCCAACTCTAAAGATCTTGGGTTCGAATCCTGCTAATGACAATTCTCTTAAAAATTAAAAAACTTCTAAAAAAAATAATATAAAGAGATGGAGGACCTAATAAAAATATAATATGAAGAGAGGGGAGACTTCTAGATAAATAAAAGGGGGTAAAGGGGTTGTAAATAAATAAAAATTATTAATTTAAAAATCATACTTTAACGTCAGTTCTAATAAACGACGTTGAAAGTAGACTTATGATCTGTATATTAGATAGCGGTTCCCTTATAACCGCTATCTAAAGTAAAAACTTTAACGTCATTTTATTAGACCCGACGTTGAAAGTTATGACTTTCAACGTCGCCTGATACAACGTCAGTTATTAAACCGACATTGAAAGCCTTCTAGAACCGACGTTGAAAGCTTTATTTGTAGTAGTGGTTGTCAATCACTGGTCAGAAAGAATCGTAAATATGTAAAACTAATAGAGATAATCTTGAACCTAACATATTAATATATAAGTTAACAATAAGAATTCGTATCATAATTTTGTTTGTGGTTTCACTTGGTCATTATCAACAAGCTAAACTAAAGAAAAAGACAAATGGTCAGGACTTTCCCATTTGCAGTTTTAGATGATAGAGTATAGTTTGCATGCTTCCATAGAAAGAAGTTAACCACTTAACCCCAGAAGAGTTAAAAACAAAGAGAGGTGGAAATTTCTAACTGTCAAATATGGCATGTGTAAGAACCTTATCAAAGCATAAATTTGGACGTTTCTCTAACTATGATAACGAGTATTTATCTAATTCATTCACTCTCCCCACTCGCATAGCATATATACCACACACACAAACCCATCACCCAAGTATTGGTACTGAGGAACTTCTTTGGTGAAAGCGTGCAACTTGACACCTCTGCATGCTGCTCTACCCTCACTCACACACTGTATCCTCTGCTATCTGCAACCCTCTTCCCAATTCCCTTGTGAATTCTCTTTCACTTAATTGGTTAATTGCTTGCACAGTTAAATTTATAATATTGCCTTCATCTCTTGTGTCTTCTTCAAAATTACATGACAGCTTAAAAATAATAATAATAATAATAATAATAATAATAATAATAATAATAATAATAATAATAATATTCTAGATGATAATAAAATGAAATAAGATAAATAAAGAATAATATAAAAATCTTAAAATAAGTCGATGAATAATTTTTTTTTTGTGTTAAAATATCATCACTCTTAAGATTAAAATTAAGAGCATTAAAACTCAGTTCTCGCTACCTCGTAATGTGTGTTAGTGACAGAAGCCTACTAGGACATTGTTTTATTTTATTTTATTTGTTTTTTTCTGACGGTATAGAGGGAAAATAAAGTTTTTGTTATCATTTTTGAACAGGAGAGAAGTTAAGTGGAAGATTGTTGGAAGGATGAAAGATTCAGAGAAAGTAACGTGGGATCAGGGTCGATGTCCGGCGCTGGCACGATCCTCAGCCTCACAGAAGCTTATGTTGTGGCTAATGCTCTTCGTTTCGCTCACCTACATGATTTACACTCTCAAGCTCGTCTCCACCTCGTCAAGCGCCTGCAACCACGCGCCGTTCATCATCAACCACCTCTCTTCCTCCTCTTTCCAATACGCAAACGTCACGGAGAAGAGGGAATCTTCACTCGCTTCGCGTGCCGGAACGGGGAAGCTCCGTGAGAAGAAAACGGAGCTCCGTCACGTGGTGTTCGGAATTGCGGCGTCGTCGAAGCTGTGGGAGCACAGAAAGAAGTACATAAAGATTTGGTACAGGAAGAAGGAGATGAGGGGAGTGGTGTGGCTGGACGATCTCGTGAAGACGGACCCGAAGGAAGGGTTGCCACCGGTGAAGGTCTCCACGGACACCTCCAATTTCGTCTACACCAACAAGCTGGGTCACCGCTCCGCCATTCGGATCTCCCGCATCGTCACCGAAACGCTGCGTTTGGGGCTGAAGGACGTCCGGTGGTTCGTCATGGGCGACGACGACACCGTTTTCGTGACGGACAACCTCCTGAGGATTCTGAACAAGTACGACCACAACCACATGTACTACATTGGGAGCTTGTCGGAGAGTCACTTGCAGAATATATTCTTCTCGTACGGCATGGCCTACGGCGGAGGAGGGTTCGCCATCAGCTACCCCTTGGCCAAAGCTCTGAGCAAAATTCAGGACCGTTGCATTCAGAGGTACCCAGCTCTTTATGGTTCCGATGATCGAATGCACGCTTGCATGGCTGAACTCGGTGTTCCACTCACTAAGGAAATCGGTTTTCACCAGGTCTCTTCCCAACTCTCCCTCTCCTATTTAATTCTTCCAAAAAAAATTCTTTTATAAAATATATAGTTCTTGTTTCTGTACAAATAATTAATTGAAGACTTTTTCGTTATATTCTCAAATAAGAGGAAGACTTTTTTGTTATCCTGAAAACAAGTCTCTTAATCAAGAAATAATTAATACATACATTCTATTATAAGGACACCAGTTAAAAAAAAAAAATCTTATGAGAATTATATTTGAGGGGATTAAAAAGCATAAAAAGTAGATACAAATGTTGCAGTTGTCTCATTGATTGTAGTATAGTGTGACCGGTAGCTTTGTGGTTGTGTTTGTGCATGGATGGTTTTTTCCTCAATGATATGGCATTGGCATAGGAATGGGATTTGTAGTGTTAATGTGTTTGGTGTGGGAGCGTGTGTGGCCCTTGGCAGAGGGGCGAATGAGTGAGTTGGATAAAGCAACGGTGAAGGGTAGAACAGTAGAACTTTCCATTTTACTGTTATTGCCAAGTCCCAGGTTTTCCGTAATCTGTCCCCCAAACATCACTGAATGGTGTCGGTCATCTGCATTATTCCTTTCTCTCTGTAATTTATTGTCCAAATACATCTCTTCTACACTAATCACCAATCACTGCTTTTAATACATGTAATAAGTATTCAGATTAGGGATATTTTTAACAAGGAAAGTGATATTTTCACGACTTAGGACACCTCCTATAAACATCTATCTTTTAATATTATAATAATAATTTTACTTTATTTTTATTTTTATTAAATCAGTCTATTCATTATTATATTAATAAAAGTGAATTAATTAAAGGATTAAATATTTTTTGGTTGTGAAGATATCAACCCTCTTTTAAAAAATATTCGTTCAATAAGTAAAACAATAATTTCATAACTTAAATTCATCTAATTTCTATAAATAATTCTCTTTTAATATTATAATAATAATTTTGTTTTATTTTTATTTAATCATTTTATAAATTATTATATTAATAAAATGAATTAAACTAAATCTTTTTTAATATTATAATAATATTTTTATTTTATTTTTATTTAATCATTTTATAAATTATTATATTAATAAAAATAAATTGATTAAAAAGTGACATGGTATCTGAATGTAAAAATATCATCATTCTTCTGTAAGTGTCTCTGATACGATATTCGATGTCAACAACCACATAATACATGAAATATGATTATATTAAATAAAATACTTTTCTTTTGTTGTCAACAAATATACTTTGTTTGAAAGTAAAGCTATAAGTATTCTCTTGAAAACGAATTCAACTTATAGGTATAGATAGATTTTTAATTTTTTTTTTATATTTTATGGTATTTATTAATAATCAATACTTATAATCTTTAGTCAATATTAATTATAATGGGATCTTTTTCAACTACCCATTAAAAATTCAGAGTACAAATACAATATAATTATGGAAAATGATACTTTGACAACCTAAATTCATACGATTCCTTTAAATAACTCTGTTTTAATATTATAATAATAGTTTTATTTTATTTTTATTTTTTTTAAATCAGTCTATAAATTATTATATTAATAAAAGTGAGTTATTAGAAGAGTTGTATGGTTTGGGAAAATGTGAAAATATCACTACTCCATGATTATAAGCATTGAAGAGCATACTGTGAAATGCTTTAGTTATTAATGTATTACACTAAATCGCAAATCAGTTGCTACTGAACTTGACTAGTTTGATAGTGATATTTTGCATCTAACTGCAAATCTCTGGCAAACAAAACACGATCCATTATGGGACGGTGGGTGGTGAACAACTTTGTGCCTCTTCTATGTTCTTTTCGCATTTTCATAGGTTTCTAAAGACTCTTTCTGTTACCCTTTTGATGCAAGGGCTCCATAGAGTTGCAGTTTAGGTACCTTGTATTTTGACTTTAATCAATAAATAGGTTTCGGTAGTTGAGGAAGCAACACCACACCTAATTTTGGCACAATCAGTTTAAGTCCTGGCGGTTGAGCAAATTTTTACAGTGACACAAACGTGTTTTCTTGAAACAGTATGATGTGTATGGGAACCTTTTCGGCCTTCTTGCAGCTCATCCAGTGACTCCATTGGTGTCACTGCACCACCTTGATGTGGTTGAGCCAATCTTCCCGAATGCCACCAGAGTAGAAGCCCTTCAACGGCTTACCATTCCAATGAAGCTTGACTCAGCATCTCTCATTCAGCAATCCATTTGCTACGACAAGGAAAGAAAATGGACGATTTCAGTGTCATGGGGTTTTGCTGTTCAGATATTTCGCGGGATATTCACACAGAGGGAGATGGAAATGCCTTCAAGAACATTCCTGAATTGGTATAGAAGAGCAGATTACACTGCATATGCATTCAACACACGCCCGGTTAGCAGAAACCCGTGTCAGAAACCTTTCGTGTTTTACTTCTCAAAGGCAAAACTCAATTCCACAATGCAACAGACAGTGACTGCATACGAAAGACATCTTGTTCCTCGTCCAGAATGTCGATGGCAGATGGCTGATCCTTCTGAGCTTCACAAAATAGAGGTGCACAAGAAGCCAGACCCGCATCTGTGGGATAGGGTATGTTCTTGTCATGTACACCAATATTTCAGATCTTTCCCAAAGTCTTAATCCTTAACTTTATATTTTTTACCTTTTGATGATATGCATGTGTGACAGGCCCCAAGGAGAAACTGTTGCAGAGTGATGAAGACGAACAAGACAGGAATAATGAAGATAGACGTGGGTATATGTAGAGATGGTGAGATCAACGAACCTATTTAACTGTGACAAGTGTGGATTAATATTAATTAGGTTCACTCTTGGACCTTATTTCTTCATTTATTGGACGTACGTTAACTTGAATTTTTGTAATTCTTCCTTGTCCTCCTCAAATTGGGTGTGGAAACATACATGTTGTAATTCATATATAAAAGTTTGAAATTTAAAATTGTATTTCTATTTGTAGCTTTTCTGCATTGCTAGAGATAATCCTTAGAATTCAGATGCGTACACAGAAAAATAAAAATAAGATACGTACTTTACAGTGATGCTTCCGTTCAAGATATACCCCGAGAGAATATAAATAAATCAGTAACTATTGCTCTGATCCACCATTGCCAAGCTTAGCTAAATAACCCTTACCCCACTTTTTTATTTTTGGTTCACATGAATTTGTAATAATATTTTTGTAAACATAAAATCTGTGACTAAAACAAACAAAACACCTATAATGCGTGCAGCCAATGCAGCCAAAGGAGATTCTTGTCATTGTCAGAAATAGAATTCGTCTTCTTTCATTCCTTCTACTCACGTGATGCTCAGAGTGTGTCTAGACAACACAGTTTAAAATCAAAATCACGAGTTCCTTTTCTTCTTGGCACCGATTTTGCAATGATTACAAAATTCCAGTGTCCACATTTGGTATGTCTTAATGATTTTTCCTCCATGCAATAAATTATCACCAGGGGACCAACAAGATGCTACTAATAGCATGTCTTTCTACATATATTCCCCTTTTACCACTCAAAATCACTATATATGATAAATTCCTCAAACACTTGTAATCAAACACGGTATATATAAACAACATTTATCTTAAACTGAAAGGCTTGTACTAAATTTTAATTGCATGTGGTCGGGAATATTAATTAATAAATAAATTAAAAATGGCAAGTGACATTTAGAACGAGTTGAGTGTTCTGAGAGTTAGAATTTATTTCATAGTTCATATCTAGTTAATTATGTTATATTTTGAAATACCAAACTCTGATTAAATTAGATTAATAAATTATTATTCCCATTTACTAAATATATAAAATTAGTTATTTTTACCTAGTTCAAGTCACAAATTCTGAACCCTACGGTGTTTTTATGAAGACGAAGAATAGAATATGTGAAAAAGATGATAAACAGTGTCCTGACTTAACAAGTTACTGTCATTAGTGCAGAATATGACTTTTACGTCACCCAATTGTCGTCCCATGCATGTATATTCGACGTAAATAAAACGCGGTGACAATTTTGTAAATATGGGACAAAAATTTTACGTCGTACGTCCCAGTACGCGACGTAAAAAACCTCTTTTATGTCGCACTTGGGAGGCGCGACATAAAAGATGACTTTTATGTCGCTTACTGGGGGCGCGACGTTAAAAGCCTTAGCTTTTTACTTTGAGCAAACTGACTCGTTTCTTTCTTCCACTCATTCTTTCTTCCAGTGTTGTGCATGACACGTTCATGTTCTTCTGTGCATGGCTTATTCCCGTTGGTGTTGGTTCCCACTCTACATGGCAGCCTCAATAGCCCTCGGAATCATTGCCATATCCTCAGCAATGCGTTCATCTGATTCCAAGAACTCAACACAAGAAGCCACGCCCATACCCCATGACCTCTCACTGAATGCTTCCAAGGCTCTCCGAAGAGCGGGGTTCATACTCATGGCGAGACCTTCTCCACCACTCTCCTTCATTCTTCAAACCGCCCCAAAACTCAACCATCTTCGCCATCGGAGACTCAAGCAATCGAAACACCTCACATCCTCTTTGGTTCCTCAAAACCCTCCTCCTCTACCACACCACCACCTACAACCCCTTCTCCTTCCACGACCTCCTCAACATGTCCCAAGGAACCTGCCTCACAACTCTCCTTCGCCACAAAAACATCTCCCTCACCAAAGTTGACCGTGCACGAAACTCCGTCGAGATTAACAACGTGTTGATATCAAACCCTAACCCTTGGAGAGCAACTAGCCGTGCATGGGGTTCTTGCACCCTTCTCTCCCTTCCACGCCCAAGACCTTCTTCAAAGGGGTTTGGATTTTTTTATTCACTCTCCTGCTTGTCTTTCCAACTCCTCCCATGCCTCCCTCTTTAAGAGTGGGGTTCAATGGAATCGCATTATTCGCTGAAGGTATTCAAGCTGAAGGTATTCACATCATCATCTTTATATCACTTTGTTCCAATTCTCTATTTTTCTGATAGTATATATCCATGCATTGGAACTTGAATTATTGTTTCCAAAAATGTCCAAACCAGCAAGTGGTTGATGATTTTAATTTACACGTTCCAAAATGAGTGCTGCTATAATTGATTACGGAAAATTGCTTCTAAATTTTGAGTTATGGTGATGACTAGGAGTCTAAAATACTTTCAGTCTATAAATTGTTTTCTTATTTTGTTATTTGAAAATATCCCTTAAAGAAGTTGACGTTGAATTGCAAGGAAAAGATGTAAAGGATGGTAAGGAACCACTATACCAATGTGATTTGAAGTCTATCCCACGCAAATTTAGTGTATCATATATGACATTTTTCCATCCTTAAGACTTCTCATTTGTACATTTCCTGTCTATAACATTGTGAATGAAAAATAAATAAAATGTAGACTATTCAATTGATCCAGATTTGATCGAATATTATATACTTGCCGAATTTATCCGACCCATAAAGTTTCTTCTGTCCTTGTTTAAATTCAGTTGCAAGTTTCTTACTTCTTTTCTTCACCAAGCTCAATTATGCGAAAAAGAGACTGAAGAGTTAAACAATGATCAAGAATCACTCATTGGTGTATTCTCTCGAAGAGGGATAAACATGACGTCGAAGAAAAAAACTTGAGAAAGATAGGTTGCTATGTTCTTCTTTTTTAATCCAAAACAATGTCAATTACAAGTATATGCTTTTTGATTAAGTCCGAAGACGTTCGTGTTTCTCCTGTAGGAGGTATCGAGTTACTAAGAGCCGCTTAACAAGATATGCATGAAAGGAAGTGTTCACTGTAATAAGCAAACTGACTCGTTTGAATGTGGTTACTATGTAATGTATTGGATCAGAGCCATAGTTTGTGCGGGTTTAATTGATTCTTGGACGGAGGTAATTACTTTTAACATTAGTTAAGTTTATTTAACTTTATTCATGTTGCATGCTTACAAGAGTCAAATTCATGTTTCAGGTATTTCAAGATCCATCTCCATTACCAGAATCTGAGATTACAGAAATTAGAGAACAATGGGCAAAATTTTTTGTTCAACAATTCTAGTACATTATTTTTTAAGTTCTTGTTCATATTATATTGTGTGTATTATGTAGTTTAGTTTAGTTTGTATAGGTAGCTTAGTTTGTAATAGATTTTTTAGTTTGTATGTTTGTATTATATTGTTTTATTATGTAGTTTGAATTATATAATATTATATTTTTAATTTACTAGCTAAAGAAAACTGAACCTCTGACTCGTCTGGTTGTAATATTTGCAGGTTTTAGTTGTAAAATAGAATAAATAAACCCAATTTAAAAAAACAGTAAATTTACGTCGCGTATACCATATGCAACGTAAATTTTCTCGTTTTTTTTAAATTGAAAAGGTTTTTACGTCTGTTTAGTGTAAATCTACGTCGGATCTTGATAACTGACGTAAATCTACGTCGGGCAAAATATCCGACGTAAATTACGTCTCCCGCTTTAACGTCAGACTTAAATACGACGTAAAAAGCCCTAAATACCTGACGTAAAAGCCCCTTTTTGCAATAGTGTGTTGAATGGAGTTTATGAATTGAAATAGCTGCACTAACTTGCAAAAACTAATTATAGTACCATCCATTTATAAAATTATTGTTGGTGTTTGGGCCCTTTCATGGCAGGCTCCGTGGAGAAACTGTTGCAGAGTGATGAAGTGGTAGAAGACACGAACCATGGAAATAGATCCGTAGGTATTTGCAGACACCCAACCATGACTGTGACAGTTATTGATTAATATATTACCCCGTTACATTCTTTGTCTTTATCTTTGGACCTTTATTCTTCATTCGTACGACTTGGTATTTGTTGTCAATATTGATTATAAATTTCAAATTCTAATTTTTTTCATTTATACTCAATGAGCATAAAACAGAAATGATTGTGTTGAATGAATTGTGATCACCAATCTTAACCACGAACACGTAAACGTAGAAGAGGTAATATCCTTACGTTTGTGTCATGCATGGAACCAAATGAGATTCTTTAAAGTCATCGTCTTTTGTCAGAATCCGTACGTCTTCTTTCATTTTTTCTGATGACGTACACGTGATTTTCAGGACCCTCCATCTTGCAATGTAACAAAAATTCAGTGTCAGAATAATAAGGTCAAATTTGTCAATATAACAAAATAAAACTTATTCGTTACAATAATTTATATTTTTCTCTAATTATGAAAAAAAATTCCTATGTTAATCTTTAATATGATAATATTTATATTTCATATTCTTCTTCTAAATTATTTTTTTAGTATTATTTCTCGTTACAAGAATTTTACATATAGCTAATATCTTACTCGATATGTTTTGTTATAGATTAATTACAGTAATAATTATAGAATATTTCGTAACTAAATCCAACTAGTTAATTAGATAAAGATATATTTTTTTAAAATTTATAGTAAATTTTGTCGTCAATCTATCGCTGAGTCTCTCACTAATTTAAGTGATGAAATTTTGTCTTTCTCTAGCTAATTGATCTCCTAAATTTTTAGTTAACTTGTAGTTAATTCGTAGCTAATTTCTCGCAATTTTGCTCTCGTTAATTTGTAGCTAATCTCTAGCAATTTCACTCTCACTAATTCGTAGCTAATCCCTCGCAATTTCACTCTCGTTAATTCGTTATTAATCTATCGCAATATTTCTCTTGCTAATCCGTAGTTAATCCCTGATAATTTATCTCTAGCTAATTTGTAGTTAATTCCTCGCAATTGTTTCCTCGCTAATATGTAATTAATCCTTCACAATGTTTCTTTTGTTATTTTGTAGCTAATCCCTCAAAATTATTATCAAAATTCTCTAGCTAATTCATAGTTAATCTCTCGCAATTTTATTTACCGATAATTTGATAATTATTTCTATTGGCATAGTAAATATTCCTGCTAAAGTATCATCATAACAATATAATATCAAATGTTTAACATTTAAATTATTACTCATATTCTTGAAAAAGAAGACAAACTTATCAATTTTCAATATAAAAGTATTGTTTAAATATAGTTAAAATGATGTTTCAAACAATTAAAATACAACCAATAATATTTCAACTAAAAAATTTTGTATCAACTAAAAAGTGTTATATCAACACAATTAAAAAATAGAAACAAAATTTTGATTCTTTAAAGTACATTTTTATCATTGTTTATTTAAGGCAAATAATAAATCTTTCTTAAAAGACTGCATTTCTTCTTGCATTTGTTGTTGCATGAGTGTTTGCATTTCTGCTTGTGTTTTCATTTGCTCTTGCAAATTAGATATCTGTGTAGCTAAGTAAGTGATTTCTTCAGTGAGAGGTGTAGTAAAATTTTGGGAAGAGGGACCTTCAATCGATGAAGATGAAACATGTGAAATACCAAGATCCAAACTCTGACCTATACCATAAATTCTACCTTTTTTATTTTCATCAGCTGTCTTTATCCAAATATCAGAATCAACTATAGGATGATTTGATGTATCTTCTCCATATTTTTCAGTCATACCATTTTCATATGATTCCTACATCAAATCAATATTTTAGCAATATTATAAATAAACAAAATTTAATATTTATAAAATATACACACTTACAATGAAATTTTTTGCTTTGTTAGGCATATATTCACTATCTTTCTTTTTATGAACTTTGTTATATAATTTATCATAAGAAATAGAAAGTTTGCGTTATTCTTCTTGTGAAATAATTTACAATTCAAGATTCAAACAACAATATACCATTTAAGAAACATAACATAAAAATTATTTCATACCAACATCAAACCTAATATTCAATTTATAACGATAGTCAATATTGATTAACAATTATATGATCAAATGTATTAAATGTGTAAAGTATGAATACCATTTTTTTCAAGTGTTGTTCAAAGTTTCTTGATCCTCCTGTGTGCATCATGACATCAGACTTGCTAGCCCTATTGGTCTTACTTGCAATGAACTTCTTTTACCATTCTTCTGTTGTCCATATGTCTACTAATCCAGTCCACATCTCAGTCCTTATACTTCTTGGTCCAAAATTCTTTAAGTCTTGAATATTATCTAAATTTGTCTTCTCTTTTGCCTTTTTCCTTGCGTTAGCTAAAGAGTCGAATATCGATCCATGCATGTCAAATTCCAAATCTTTCTTGTCATACTCTAACCATAAGTTGATGCAAAACGATACTTGTTCTACACCAATCAAAATTAGATAAATTTATTATTTAATACAAAAGTTAAAACAAAATTATATAAGTATTTTAACACAATAATTATTAACCATGAAATCATTGAATAAATTTTCTTTCATATCAACAAAATAATTTTTCCAATTTGGTGTTGGATGTGACATTCTCATGAGTAACTCGGATATAATATCTCGAAGTTACTCGAATCAAGAACAAATCTCCTCCTATAATTTAAAATCTCAATGTATAAATTATTATGATTTAGTAATATAAAAATGAATAATTAATAATTAAGTTAGTTTTGCTTACGGGTTACTAACTCGTTACACGTGATATAACAAGTCTTCTATCAACTTCATTATGAGAATTTTCACTTGAAGGCTCCTCTATAGATTGTGGATTATCATATTTTATACTACCTATTTCAGGAGATCTGTCATAGAGATATGAAATAACACTCTTTTGGACAAAAATTCGTCTCCTCGCTTAAAATTTGTGACTTTGGTTACTCCAAGGTTAATTTAATAGCATTCACCTACATGATGTTTTTTGGAGATATATCATATCTCACATAACTTACATTATAGCCAGTACTCACATATGTTTCTTATAACTTTTGCTGACTGTTGTATCTAATTCAACATGTAATTGTAGTATGCTCTATTGTACTCTCAACCAAAATCAATAGTTGGAACACCTACATACATTGCTCCAAAGGATCTATCTCAAAAGGAGTATGATGGAAAGGTAAGGAGACTATGTTATTCCCCTAAGGACCTTGAAAATAATGTCAAGTCACAGTACATGACAATTGAAAGTCATATTTCATGTATTGACAATTGAAACTATTGCCACTTTTATTTAAAAATTTATCACTCGATCCCAAAAGCTCAAATTCTTAAGCAAATTGGCCTCTTTTTTTTAGATTTCACATGTTTGGTCATGTGGTGTGACTCTTTATGTCATGTTAGTTGATGCATACCCATTTGAAGAGCAAAAAGATCCTAAAAATTTTAGAAAGACTATTGGGGTGAGCTCTTGTTAGTTGTTTAATTTAACGGTTCTTTGTGATTTCTTACATAGAAGAAAACTTAAACTTTATTCTATTGTTGATAAAAAATAATGGGTGTTCAGTATTCCATACCCGACTATTTTTGTGTTTCTTCTGAATGTAGGAATCTTCTATCCACTAAAAAAAATATTCAAATTACTGACAGTCAAAATCCGTCGGTAATAACAAAAATTCGTCGGTGAATAGATATTATCGACGACGAAAAATTCATCGACAATTGGGTTGTCAGTAAATATTATTGACGGATTTAAATAGTCCATCTGTAAATATTTTACGGATTTACCGATAGATATATCTGTCGGTAATATTTTTATTATTTATTGCATTTTCACTTTTTTTATAACCAATTTTTTAGAGATTTCTCTCCCCTTTACATTTTTAATATTTATTATTATTTATTTCCTTTGAGTTATTATTCAATTAAGAGAATTATCATTGGCAAAATTCAAACCCAGTACCTTAGAGTTAGAGACCGATACTCCAACCACTAAGTTACTAGAATTTTTCGATAATAATTTACAAATAAATTATATTTATATATTTATGTATAATTAAATATTTATTTTTTAAATTATTTAATTTAATAAATTATTATAAATTAATCTAATTATGATTAAATTAAATTATTAAATAAAAAAATTTAATTTTTTAATTATGTGAATAATTAATTTATTAGAATATATTAAGTAATTATTATATAATTTTACAACGGATATATCTCGGTAAATAATTGTTAATTTACCAATGGTAAATAATTGTTAATTTACCTGCTAATTTAAATAATCCGTCTGTAAATATTTTACTGAAATTACCGAAGGACGGGAATCCGTCGATAATATTTTTATTATTTATTGTATTTTCACTTATTTGATAGCCAATTTTTTAGAGATTCCTTTCCCCTTTATATTTTTAATATTTATTATTATTTATTTCCTTTGAATTATTATTCAATTAACACTACTACAAATAAGGCATTCAACGCTCGGTTCGGAACCGACGTTGTATCAGCGACGTTGAAAGTTAAGACTTTCAACGTCGGTTCTATTTAACCGACATGGAAAGTTATCAAATTTTTTTATTTATTTCCAACCCCTCTATTTATCTAGAAATCCCCCTCTCTTTTATATTATATTTTTATTAGGTCCCTCTCTCTTTTATATTATATTTTTATTATTTATCATATTTTTTTAAAGTTTAAAGCATTACCAAATTATTTTTTTGTCAACTGACGGATTCGAACCCAGCACCTTAGTGTTGGAGACTCGATACTCTAACCACTAAACTATTCAAATTTTTTTATAGTAACTTACAAATAAATTATATTTATATACAAATAAATATATATCCGTGTAAATATATAAATACAAATATATTTATATATTTTGATATATTAAAATAATTATATATTTATATATTGGATGTGAGGACACGCTCGAAGGTGAAAGTGTGTGTCGAGTGGGTTTTCAAAATTTGATGCCAAATTTGTGAACGAGTCTCTTTATATGGGTTTGTAATTTAATGACAGTAATATAATATTTATAATTTATTTATATAATGATATAAAATAAATTTGGGAAACGCATCATTCGCTCAAGTGACACATTCGCTCAAGCGAAAAATACCAATTTTCGCTCAAGCTAGGCTTGAACGAGTGAATTTCTGTGAGCTTTAACGTATTTTCACTTAAGCGAGAGTCAATCTCACTTTCACCCTCGATCGCGCCCTCACATCCAACATAAAAATATATAAATATATCAAAATATATAAATATATTTGTATTTATATATTCTATATTTATATATTTACACTGATATATATTTATTTGTAAATTATTATCAAAAAATTATAGTAGTTTAGTGGTTGGAGTATCAATTTTCAACTCTATAAAATACTATATTCGAATCCTATCAGTGACAATTCTCTAACTTAAGTGAATTTTTTATCGAAAAAAATAAAAACACTTTCCGTAAAATATATATAAATAAATATATATTTACACGGATATTTATTTGTATATAAATATAATTTATTTATAAGTTATTATCAAAAAATTATAGTAGTTTAGTGGTTGGAGTATTAGCTTTCAATTCTAAAATACTCGGGTTCGAATCCGTCGATGACGATTCTCTAACTTAAGTGAATTTTTGGTAAAAAAAATAAAATCACTTTCCGTAAAATATAAATAAATATATATTTAGTGGTTGGAGTAACAACTTTCAACTCTAAAGTACTCGGGTTTGAACCTCGTCGGTGACAATTCTCTAACTTAAAAGAATTTTTGGTGAAGACACATTCAACGTCTGGCTCATCGAGGAACCGACGTTGAATGTGTCAATAAAATGACATTCAACGCTCGGCTCATCTAGAACCGACGTTGAAAGTGTCCATACAAAGACTTTCAACGTCGGTTCATCTAGAACCGACGTTGAATGTACTTTCTACGTCGGTTGACTTGGAACCGACGTTGAAAGTGTCCAACATTCAACTTTCAACGTCGTTTTTTAACCAACCAACGTTGAAAGTGTATTTAACGTCGGCTCAGCTTTAACCGACGTTAAATGACGACGTTGAAAGCATATTTTGTAGTAGTGTAAGAGAATTGTCATTGACAAAATTCGAACCCAATACCTTAGAGGTAGAGGCTGATACTCTAACCACTAAGCTACTAAAATTTTTCGATAATAATTTACAAATAAATTATATTTATATATTTATATATATATATATATATATATATTTATATATTTATTTTTTAAATTATTTAATTTAATAAATTATTATAAATTAATCTAATTATGATTAAATTAAATTATTAAATAAAAAAATATTTAATTTTTTAATTAGGTGAATCATTAATTTATTAGAATATATTAAGTAATTATTATATAATTTTACCGACGGATATATCTGTCGATAATTAATTGTTAATTTACCAATGGATTTACCGACTGAAATATCCGTCGATAAATAATTGTTAATTTACCGACGGATTCTGTCCGTCGGTAATTAATTGTTACCGACGGATCCATCGGTAATTATTTGTTAATTTACCAACGGATTTAAATAGTCCATCGGTAAATATTTTACGAAATTACCGACTGGACAGGAATCATGTCGGTAATATTTTTATTATTTATTACATTTTCACTTTTTTAAAGCCAATTTTTTAGAGATCCCTCTCCCCTTTACATTTTTAATATTTATTATTATTTATTTCCTTTGAATTATTATTTGATTAACAGAATTTTCATTGGCAAAATTCGAACCCACTTCCCTTTGAAATATTATTCGATTAAGAGAATTGTCATTGGCAAAATTCAAATCCAAGTACCTTAGAGTTAGAGGTTGATACTCTAACCACTAAGCTACTAAACTTTTTCGATAATAATTTTGAAATAAATTACATTTATATATTTATATATTTATATAATTATATATATATATATATATATTTATATATAATTAAATATTTATTTTAAAAATTATTTAATTTAATAAATTAATCTAATTATGATTAAATTAAATTATAAAATAAAAAATATTTAAATTTTTACTTAGGTGAATAATTAATTTATTAGAATATATTAAATAATTATTATATAATTTTACCGATCGGATATATCTATCCGTAATTAATTGTTAATTTACCAATGGATTTATCGATGGAAATATCCATCGGTAAATAATTGTTAATTTATCGACGGATTTACCTGACGGATATATCTATCAGTAATTAATTGTTAATTTACCGACGGATATATTCATCGGTAACTAATTACTATTTTACCGACGGATATATCCATTGGTAATGATGCGATTTTCATTGTAGTGATATCGCATCTTTGTTGTCGTTCCTGCCAAGATATATATTTCTAATTTTCCAAATAACAATTATATGTGGACACCTATTATTGTTAAATACTTCATCAACACTTGTCATTTATCTTTATCACTCTTTCTATCATATCATAACACTAACAAAATTTATATTTACATTTTTTTTAAGCATCAATGGGTTGTTATTTAGTATATTTTAGGTATTCATATATAATTTTCTTGTGCAAAAGCATACAAACACTATAGTCATACAACCTGTAATGTGTTGTTCTAGTTTTAGAATCACACACCTAGAATTTGGCTTATTCATTATTCAACAAAATTCATTTTGTATTATTGTGTATATTAACAACTTCAGCATAACATATCATTTTACAACAGTAGAAACATTCAAAATGGAGAAGAGATTATACCGTGAGAAAGCGTGAGCAAAAGCGACGTGAAAGTGGTAAGACAGCGATAACAGCAACGGCGATGGCAGAGGCAGCGGTAGAAAATGGAGATTTAGGTTTTAATTGAAAGTAAAAGAAGGGGACGTAGTGGGAGGGGAGAAAAGATTTTGGGAAAAAGATTAATTTATAATTTTTTTTAAAAATTATAAAATTTCTAAAGTTTTAAAAAAATATATTATTATTATTATATTTAAAATAATATTTAATTTAATAAATATTTTAATATAATAATTTTTTTGTAAAGACTAATTTCTAAAAAGAGTTATAAAAACATTATATATACATTTTTTTACTAATTTAAATATTATTAAATACTTCCTACAAATTTAAATTTATAACAAATTTATAGAAAATCATTTTCATTATTTATTAATTTTTTTAGATATTTAAAAAAAATTATAATTATTTTCAAATAATTTATTTCAGATACAAAAAATAATTTATATATATATATAATTAATATATTTACAGTAAATTTGGTAAAAACAATTTTATAATTATTTTATAATTATTTTTTAAAAAGATCAAAATTATTTTTTATACTTATATATTTTTAGAGAAATTTACAAATAATTTCTGTAAATAATTTTTTTGCAAAAAAATACAGAAAATACTTTTTTCAATTTGATATTTGCTATAAATTTACTACAAATTTGCTACATATTAACTATGATTGTATGTTATATAATTTAACTAGAAAATAACTTCAAAAAGGTAACATAGCTAATATTTATAGTGGGGGATTAGTGAGAGAATAACTACAAAAATATTAGACTTTTAGCTATTTTATCTTAAAGTTTAAATTGAGAAATTTGTTTGAGAGAATAAAAAAAAAAGAGTGGAATATATTAAAATTTTATATATGTATACGGATAATATATTTACCTTTAATTTTTTTTAATTTAATAGCTAAGAAAATTGCTATTTTAAATCATTATATTATTTAAAACTAATTTTCTTAAAATGAACGAATTACTCATTTTATATATAATTCTTCAACTGGTGGTATCAGGTCTAAAAAATCAACTAATACATGGAATTATAAATTAGATTACACAATCTTAGGAATTGATTTTGGACAAAAACTAAATACAGATTGCTAGCGACTATATCCATTTGTTAAATTTAGTTTGAAAACTCTATGTTGAGTTTTATAACTAACTAAAACTTAAATTATTTTTAAATGAATTTTTATACACTGAGAATCACCATTATATTAACCAATATTTTTTAAATCGAATAAGAATATACGAAGATATAAATTCAAAATTTAAATCGATTTAATAAAATAACATTTTTATAATAGGTTAAACAATATTTTTTTATTAAAAAATAATACAAATTATTAGTATAAGTTACAATAAAAATTATAAATATAAAATATATTAAAAAATATAAGATACATAATTATTAAAATAAGATAAAATAATTAACATTTCATATGAGAATAGCCTATTAAAATATTAAATAAAGAATTAATTGCTTGAAATAAAGAATTTTTATGTCACATGATGAGTACTTAAATTTTTTTTATAATTCTTTCAACATATAATTTGAAAAAAAAATAAACAAATCAAAATAAATGAGGGAAAATAATAATTTTTTAAAGGAGTAAAATCAACAATAAGTAACTTTAAAAGTGGTATCATAAATATCTATTTTATATTTTTTAAAATTAAAAATAATTGATGTGAATTATTTCTATTGGAAATGTCTTATTTAAAATTGACAAGATAAAAAATATATATTATCTTTTATAAAAAAATTATATTAAAAAATTTGACAAGATAAAAAAAATTAATTATCTTTTATAAAAAAAAATTAATCATAATTTTTTGTTCAACTAAAATTAGTTTGACTTAAAAAGGCATTCATTTTTTCCGATTTTGTTAATTTTATTCTAATTTAATTAAAATTCAAATATTTAAAAATAATCAATCAGTTTGTAAATCCAGTTTTTGTTAAACCAGTTGAATCTAGTCAAATTTTCGAAAACATCGATATTAAATATCTAATATAAAGTAAAGAAATGAATTTATAGCATATGAAGATGAAGCGAAAAGTGAGAGAACTCAAAAAGTTGGCATTCACTAATAATATTCATGAATAGAGAGAGAAGGTATCAATGAAATTTACATATCTGTTTGGGTGCTTCCAGCGAAATATGTCCCAGCCCAATCCACATATTAACGGGCTCAAGGCCTCTTCAATTATTTAATCTATAAAACCATCTATCCCTCGGCCCAACATAAAATATATAGATATAATATGCAAATTTATACATTCTTGTATATTATTTACATTACGTTTCGCCTACAAATATATTCTTGTCATAAATTATTAGTATCATAAATATAAACAAAAGGAAAATAAATAATTAATAAAGAGTAGAAAATAAAATTAATTTAATTAAATAGAAAGTATGTAAATATAAAAAATTTGAAGTTAGTTTATTTATATATACTGTAAATTATAATGCATAATTTGAAGTTAGGCAATCAATTTTATTAATTAAAAATCTAAACATTTTATCTTTTTTCTTATTTGGATGTATAATTGTAAAAAAATAAAATAAAAATCACCCTATCAAATTAGGAATATTTACTAAAATAAGATAAACTATTTTTGAAATTATAAAAAATATATATTTTTAAAAAATAAAATTGAATAAAGCATGCATGTAAACATAATTTTTATGTTAAAGATGTGGTGCTTGTAGGCACTAATTTACTTTCTTTTAACATACTAGTTTTAATTTTTTAAAAATTAAATTAAAAAAAAAAGAAAAAAAAGAGAAATTTTATTTTATTAACTTTATGATATATCTGATTATAATTATTATTAATTTAATTATTGTTATTATCAGAATTAATTATGTTTTAGGTAATTTTGATTTCAGGACTCTTAAATTTTTTGAAAAAAAAATTGTTTAATCTCTCAAAATTTAAAGATATCATTTTAATTATCGAACGCTAAATTTAAAATACTTAAAAATACATTTAAATATTTTAAATCATTCTCCACGGTTTTATGTTAGAATGGATACTTATTTCTCTTAAGTTAACAATAAAATAATAATCACAACTGTTCTAATTTTTAAAACAAATATTTCTTAATTTTTTGAAGAGGTGAAACTCATATTTTAATAAATAATACTCATTTTTCTTATTCGATTTAAAATAAAAATGAAATAAAAAAAATATAATTTCCTAACCGTCAACAAACTTCGCTATAAATCTGGTTTTTTAGGTGTAATAAATGTGTCGTATTTATAACACCAAGTGGGCAAAACTAAACCTGCTTAGAGACAAAGAAACAAGTAGGAAAAAAGGAAATGGTTTACTCAGGAATTGATGGGAAGACCAAGACCAAGACCCTATTTTGAACGCTTAATTTTATTTAAAATTATATTTTTATTTATTTTATTTACTAATACTAATTTATACAAGAACATCCGAATGAAATCATTCGGATAACGTACAGATTCCACTTTTGCAAAAAAAAAAATCATAATTTTTTTTTATCTCTTAGCAAAGATAAATTAATCTAAGTCATAACCTTATAATTTTTTTTCACAACCATGATGTATTTTAAAACTTTTTATTGCAAACTGAATTATTAACATGTTCAAGATTTATTTTTTCAATATCATAAAAGAATTTAAAAAAAAAACAAGGATTTGTTTAGTACAAATATTTCATTTCAAATTAAAATAAAAAATGACTTAACTTTATAATAAATTGATAGAAAAATTAGTTAAAGAAATCATAGGTTACTTGTTATATCTCTATTTTAATCATGTTTTTAAAACCAGACTCCGAGAACGTATGAGTTGAAAGTTCAAACGTTCAATCGGGACTTAACCTGAAATTAATCGGAGTTAAACTGGAATAAAATAATATATTAAATTTAAAATAAGTTTCTCAGAGCATAATAATAATTTCAATCAAATATAAATATATAAAGAAAAGTAACATGAGTAAACATATAATCAAATATTTGGAATACAAAATAATTAGAGAGAAAACAATCTGTTGTTGTATCTAACTTGAAAATAATAAGAAGAAAAAAACTACAACTAATTTAAAAATAATTAGGAAAATAATTACATCTAACTTGAAAATAATTAAAGAGAAAAATTGTACCATATCTTTCATTGCATCTAACTTTAAATTTTATATATTTTATTTTATTTCAAGACATGATTGTAGAACTCAAACATAATTCATTGTTCACACATCAAATTAATTTTTGAAATTAAGAGATTTTGATTCTTACATGTTATTGTATTTATATAGATGATTATAATGATGATAATAATATATAACGATGACAATTAAACTACACAAGAAAAAGACAATTAAAGATAGTAAGTAACGGTGACAATGAAAAATAACTCTACTAAAAAAATAACTTTATGTTTTTAAGTTTGCCTGAGTCTATGTTAAATTAAAGAGAAAAAAATATAGGATAAAACAATGTCACTTAGCTTTTTTTTCTAAAAAAATTTGGATAATGATCCATCTAATTTTTTCAGTTTTTAACTGATTTATCTAATTTTTGAGCCGTTCATTATTTATCCAATTTTTAGAAAATTTTGAATTAATTATACATGAATTCTTGGTCCAATAGGTTGAACAGTCTATTTTGATGAGCATGATTTTAATTGAATAACAACCCATGTGTTTTTTTAAGACTTATGGAAAATATTTATTTGATGTAATAAACAATATTTGTATGAAGAAATATATAAAAAAATATATTATATAATTATTATAGATATGAAAAAAAATTCGGATATATAAATAATAACAATGTACTAGAGTTTGTTTGACTGGAATAAACTGTTCTTCAAACTTCTTGCAAGTCAACCATACGACGGTTTATGTGATGTAAGAATAGAAATAAACATTTTATTATAAATTTTATAATCAATTTAAATTAAAAATATTTTTTTTATAATTTTTAAATAACTCAAATATAAAATTACAATAAAATATTTGTTATTTTAAAAATTCTTTTTAAAAATGTCTTAAATAATATGATTTTTTTCTTATAAATAAGCAGAATAAAATTAAATAAAGAAAAATAATTATGTGAGAACTCAAATAATCAATAAAAAACTAAAATAATACTAAATAACATTACATGATAAAATAACACTATTTGAATTTTGGGTTAATTATTTAAGTTCTCAAACAATGTTTTTCTTAAATAAAAGATAGTAAAAAGACTCTCCTCATGCATTATTATAGCAATAAAAAGTTGTATGGACGTTATATGTGAATGGATGTCTGGTGGGTGCGATTCTGTTCTTCATCCTTGAACAGACAAGTTGCATTCCTTAGAGAAGATGTAGGGGTTGATAGCATCTCTATTACTAAATTTATTTATTGAAGGGTATCTCTTACATTGGCCAAAAAGAATGGGGAATAGATAAACCAATAACAAAACTCCACAAATCATAAAGCAATCAATTCTTATCCGCACCAGATGTTGTCTTCATGAGGGTGAGTTAGGGACCACAACCACCGAATTATCTTTCATATACTTTTTTTTGTTATTTTTTTATTTTTAATTCTTGTTCTCCTTAGCATCCAACCAAAATTGTACAGCCTAATATTATTGTCGTTTTGCAATATATATTCTTTTCCCTTCATAACAGACTACACAAATCTCCAACCCTCACTCACAAAACGAATTTTATTTCCCACTAGCTCAGGGGTAATATAATGGAAGCTCCAATCAGCATGTAGATGTAGTCCCTCCATTATATCCAATCAGGAGCATTCAAATTCAACATCATCAAGCCTTCTATATTGTCTGTATAACGATTAGTTACTAGAAAGAAAAGATTAGTTGATAAACAAATTCTGTGTAACTCTTGACTTACGAATTTCAATTCCAAATTAAAGGCATGAATAATACACATGTTCAAATTAAACTGTACGTACGTTTATCTAATTAACCAAGTATATATGCTTTATGTATGGAATTAAGCATTGATTGTGTAGTATATAATTTTGTACGTAGCTAAAATGTAGAAGAAAAGAAAAAGAAGAAGCTAATCTTAATTTCTACTTGATCATATTATAGTGGGTCGCCATTTTAATCTTAATGCCTGAAATGAAGAATTCATACGATCTATCCGGCCAAATCATGGAGAAGCTGTGCTCCCATCAAATTTCTGTAAGGCAGGTTTTGTCCTTCACCATCCAAAAGAGAGTACTGAACGGGTTGGCAGTCGTCAATTTGGTCCCTTGCGTTTGGGTAATACAGTGAAGTTTGTGTTGCTGGCGAGAACGCTAGGCTTACTCCATGCTGCTGTAACCCTAGCGTCAAAGACACCCCGCTCTGGTTGTTCCCACTTTGATCATTACTTCCGAAAGAAACCATGCCCGAGGAGTGGTGTGTGTATGATGAAAAATCAAGCTCCACCGACCCAAAGCACTGTTCTTGGCCTTTTGGGTCCTTTTTGTTATCTGGGGTGTGGTTATTGATTATGGAGGACGCACACTCGGAGTCGATTCGAACCAGAGATGGCTTCTGATCCTCTGATCGTGATGAATGAGGTGGAGGGTTCTGAACATTTGGGTTTATATCATTGTCTGGATCAGTGGCGCCCTCGGACGAAGCTACGTTGTTTTCGTGATCCTTCACTTCCTCCAAGTACATTTCCTCCACCATTGGCTTCCATAGTCTCACCCTTGCATTAATAAACCAATTCGAAACCTGCTTTCAAACATACGCGTCACCCAACGTGGTTTTCAATTTTTACATGAATGTATGCATGGAATATAATAATATAACGTCTTGATACCTAATGCGTATTTTATTATATGCAAAATAAACATATATATCCAATGGGAAATTAGGTGCACATATGTGTTGGAGAAAGATATGAACATGCCTGGCCTCTCGAGAGACCGGTTTGGCGTGCTAAAATATGTTTATCAACATCGCTTGGGTACCTGCAAAAGTTCACAACACTCAAAATAATTAATTAATTAATTAATTAAGAATCGGATCTTCAATATTGTAATTATCCTAACAAGTAATCAAACATCAAGCAACATTTGTAGAAAAGTAGCATGATCAAATAAAAGGATTATTTATTGCCCACTTTGCATACGAAAGATTGAAAATAATATGACGAAATGCCAACAGAAGGAATCTGAATAGTGATGCGCAGAAACTACCAAAATGTACCATAGTTTTTGCAAGCAGAAATGATTGAGATTCTATACGCTACGCTACGTATGAGAAACTCACGGCACCATCAATTTGCAGTTGGTCTCTGATATTAATTTGGAGAGAACATTGATTCTTGAGTAAAATCTATTTTGTTGGTTACTTATATTGGGACTTGAATAGTATATGTAAGTAACTAGCTAACTGGCAATCACAAAAGAAGAGGATGAAGCAATTAGTAAGGGAGAGAGTTTGTTACGGATGGAGAAAATGCTCAAAAAGCCAAGCCCGAAGAACCGAAACAGCACGCTCGGGAAGGCCACGTTGGGGTCTCCAAGGATGTGTTTCCATCATGCTCATTTGCTGAAACGCCCTTTGTTGTCTCAGTGCTTGGTCGATGACTTTGAGCCTAGGCGTTTCACCCCTTGTCGTGCCTGGTGCAACTGGGTCTTTCTCTCCCATGGCTTTTCTTGTTGCTTGAATCTGCCCCAAAATCCCATCCTTCAGACACTTGAAATGTCTCGACATGGCTTTCAGCGCCAACGCCGAGTACACCGTGGCAGCACCGTTCCCCGCCACCGCTTCAAACGACGACACCACGCTCTTCATCTGATTGCGGTAGTGCTTGTACCTTCTGTCAACCTTGAAGCGAAAGCAAAGCCAAAAAGATATATATATAACACTTTAATGAAAGTTACAGCAAGGTAGTCTTCGTGGAATGAAAATGATTAACCATGCATGCTGTAAGAATAAATATTGCCCGGAAAAGGAAGAGGGAAAAGGGGTTTGTGTCGTGAAGGTAAATGAAAAAGGGTGAATTGTCATGAGGTGAGAGCATAGCATTAATGAAAGGGCCCGTAGTGGCTGCTGAGTTAGTTCAGGAATCAAAATCGAAAGACCCCGATCCAATCAACCCACACACCAACCGAAAAGTTAAAGGACCTGGACGGATAGATACCAATACCATTACCAATTCACTTGGAGTAAAGGCGTGGATTTAACTTACACTCCTTTTTCCATATTTTGGGGAACGATGGATAAAGGTGTGTTATTTCCTTGCAAAAAAGTAGTACCAGTACACAACACTCTTAAATGAAGCCAAACAAGATTTGGAAACAAACATCAAACATATATACCTCTTCCAGCATCGAAAGCAGCTTTGTCTTTCTCTTCTGCAACTCCACGAACTCGAGGGAGGTCAGAGAATGCTTCTTCGAGGAACCGGTACCGTTGTTATCCTCTTCCCACTGCTTCTTCAACGATTTAGGCTTACCCAACTCGCTTTGCTTTGCGTCTAGGCTACAAAACTCGTTGAGAAGGTCCTGTGCAGGCACCAAATACTTGGAGTTCTTCACCAGGAAATGTCCTTGTTGGTAAACACTGGCAGCTTTGGAGTTAGAACTCACATACCCATCTTGTAACATTGGTTGCTGTTGGACACTCACTGGTTTTCCAAAGAACCCTTCTCTGGAACTCGAGTGAACAAAATCAGGACTATGGCTTGTTTGTCGTAGCTCAAAAGATTGCAACCCGATAGTGGAAGGGTTGGTTGAGCTGAGAGATAGTGAAAGGCCTTGACTAGGCCTTTCGTTGGCTTCACAAGGGAACACACACCTTAAAGAAGAATCATCAAACCTGTTATGGTTGTTGTCGTCTTGCCACGGGGCCGAATCATGAGCTCCCACGATTAGATTCTCTGCACTTGTTTCAGAAATATTCCCGGGTGTGAAATCCGAAGGCTTGTTGTTATTGTAGTCATGGTGGTAGAAAGTGGTGGAGGAGTCGATGGTCTTGGAAGAGGAAGGACCCGATTTGGGGATGAAACTTCTCCACATGACAGCGTTGGTGTCACTCTTTGGAAACCCTATCATTTCCATGCCTGTGGTGAGGTTGTACATCTCCGGGTCTGACACAAAGCCTTGGATCTGGTTCACTAGCATCGTTGGATTTCCCGATGATACATCAGAGTAGCAAAATCCAGACGATGATTTGTCTTCACACAGTTGTCGAGCCATCAAATCAAATTAATTATGGAAAGCTCGTGGAGTTGATAACGTTCTTCTTAATTCATCAATTGCCTTCTCACCAATCACTTATACCGCTTCAGGTTTCTTACGTTGTTGGAATATTGTCGCAAGGGATATGGTTGGCTTTGTTGAGTTGTTTCATCCCACAACAGAATCCACAAACCACTGAAACAGAGTTGAAAAAAGAATTAAGGGAGGTCCAGGCCACGCCGAATCATACATAAGGCCAAAAGCAGAAAGGAAGAAAGGAAGTTGAATAGTTACTTTGCTTGGTTCTGGAGAAAGTAATTCAATAACTCAGAGATCTTACCTTAATGGAAGAGTAGAATAATTAGTTAGGTACGTGAGAAAAGGATCAAAGTACGGTTGTTGTAGCTCCGGCGGTGGTCGGTAGAGGCTACTTCTGAACAGCGGCGGTGTTAGTTTTGAGAGTAAGTGGGAGTTCCGTTTATCTCTGACCTGTTCTCTTAATAAGCCAACATAGAGCTACCATGAAAACCAACCTAGGAACAAGGATGAGAAATACTTCCTCAGAAATAGAAGATCAGATAGGGGTGATGATGACCCTCATGCCATGATCATCATTTGATATATGTCTACCTCTCCCTCCCTCTCTCTCTCTCTCTCTCTCTCTCTCTCTCTCTTTTTCTCTCTCTTGAAAGTGGGTCAATGCAAGATATAAATACAACCAAAATAGACTTCTGGTACAGTAAGAAAAATATCAAGGAAATTTCCTCAATTATTTCTTATCCCTAGTACCTACACCCAGTAAAATGAATAATGTAATTAAAAAGGTTTTTAAATTGAGTGCAAATAATTGAAAATATAAATAAATAAATAAATAAATAAATAAGCTGTGTCAGTATTAAGAGTCATAATTAAAAGGAAAAACAAAAAAACAGACCTTCTCTACAAAGTACTAATGAAGGACGGGAGCAACAGAAAGTTATGATCGTCCTTTGCCTGGTACATATACTACAAGCCGCCACATGAGTAGCTCTCTGATTTACGAAAATGTTGATTTTTTAACAAATTGTGCTTTTACCACCGACGTCGAAAACGAAGGCAAAGGCACCATAATGTTGGCATGATAGAAAAAATGGAGATTTGTAGGGTCTCTGGGCGCCCATGAAAAATTGTTTATTGTTGAAGAATCGGAAGGGTGGTGAATATTTTAAGAAAAAGAAAAAGAAGGGTGATGGGATTAAGGGGATCTTTGTAGGGAAACGAATCCCAAGATCGAAGTGATCCTAAGTAGGAGTGGCTTTTTGAGATTGGTTTGAGCTAGAGAGGTGTGTTTGGGGTGAGTTGGTGGGCCAGGGTGGCTCCCTCTGTTTTGTTGTTTAATCTGATATCTGTTGCGGTGTTGCAGAGCGAAGAGAAAGGGTGAGAGAAGGAGTAAAAAGAGTAACAATAGATGCTCTTGGGTTTGTGTAAAAAATTTGCCATAACAAGGGAGTGTGTGAGAGATGAGTGATGAGATATTGAGATGAGGTGGTCCATTCTTTGCCCATCTAATTCTTATTAATTGGTGTATTAAAGTACTCCACCCATCCTCTTCTCTCCATTTTGCACCCCATGGGACCGCATCTTTTCTTCCTCTTCCACGCGCATGCATTTCCCTTTCATCACATCTCAATAAACTAATTATTAATTAATTAATTAATTAATTAATTAAACACGCACAGCCTTATTAGGTTTTGCTTAATCAATACTTCCCACCACCAAATTAATCTGCTTCCCATTTAAGGAAAACTAAAAGTTTAGGAAAACCCACATTCCATTCAACTGCATGCCCTCTATGCCCACCTACGTACATTCAATATTCTCATCCTCGTTTTATTTGACAATGATTTTGTTGCCCATTTCCTATTTTTTTCATTTCAAAATCATAACGTTGATTAAAGGTAACTTTCAATCCTCCAACCATGCTTTCTTCCTTTTCGTTTCCATTTCACCAACAAGACAAACCTCTCCCACATCATTCCTGCGTAATCTATCTTAAATAATACACTATTTCCAAACTTATTCGGATTAAATATTTCAAGCTACATAATTATTCATTTTGTGTTCGAATCATTGCTTTGGTCTAATCAGATCACGCTTCACGTCTCAACTCGATTATGTTATTAAATTATTGTAACCCACTTCAATTAACCTATCTTTCGTCTAATTCAAATTAATAACTTGGTTAGGTATTGGTTTCCCCTTAGCACTGGTCATTTCATTCTTCAAAGTTAAATAACTTTTAAACCACATATTTTTAGCATCAAAATGGTCAAAGGTTGAGAAGTGAAAGGATTATCCCAATAATCAAATAGCATTAGATAAATAAATTACTTAAATGAAACAGAACCAACCTTATCCCCTTCAACTCATTTAGACAGTTTTTTTTTCCTTCTAAATCTACCTATATTATTACTTTTAAATAAATTATGAGTGAAAAATGTAAAAATTAGAAACATATCTTAGTACCGGTCTAATTATCTTGATATTTCGTATGTGGGGTCAAAAATTAATGTCTTGTTGAACAAGTTACTATGAGGTTCATCCTCAATCAGAAGATTTTTAATACATATTTCTAGACCTACTTTGAGTTTGAGTTAACAGATTAACACGTGGGCTTAATTTACCAAACTAACCCAGGTTATCCAATGAAAATTCCAGAACAAATAATGTAAACATTAATTAAGTGTTTTTAATAGACAAAGAAAGACAAGATTTTTTCTTTTCCTAATCAAATCTCACGCCCAACAAAAACTTTCAAATTTTGTTGAAATTTCACCTAATGTGTAACTTCCAAACCTCTATTTAATTATTTCACACCTTAATTCTAAACGTCCCAAAACATTTAGATAAAAATATAATAATGTAAAAAATTAATTAGAAGAAAGTTGGCAATAAGAAACCAAAAGATTGGTCAAATTTTAAAATAAAATAAAATAAGAAATGGACTAAAATAAACTTGGAAAAAGTCGTAATGATTTCCACTCCAAATTTTAAAGAAAACGAAATAAAAAGGAAAATTAAGTCAAATGCATCATAATTTTGATTGCTTAATATGTTTTAAATTTATGATTGTAAGCTTGTGTTACTTATTCATTTTAGCATTAAGTATCCATATTTAAAAATTTAAACTCGGGTACTCACATAGAAAGCAGGAAAAGATATTAGACAGACACAGCGAATGGTCCAAACTTAATTAATAGTAAATTAATTTAATAGCAAGTACTTATTAGATATAGTTATTACACTAGAGTTGGTATCGTATGTTTTTTTCTTCTTAAAATAAAAAACCAATAACACTAATTAAAACATGATATTTGAAAGAAAAAAAAAGTAGGTTAAAATAAAGTGGGGTTAATTAGGAAATATGTTGTTATACTATAAGTTTAATGATATGATATTTAGTGAAGAAAGTAGAGAGCGAAAGAGTGAGGCATAGGCATTTTAATACTGGTGTAGTCAAATATTGCAAAGGCGAGGTTCACCGATTTGGATCAAAGAAGGGTTTGATGTTTGATTAAAGTGGTTAAGATTCGATTCCTCTTTTTTAAGAATGCCGAAAATTTGCCAAAATTTATGTTTTTCTTTGTAAAAGAAGGGGGGAAAGTCACGCGCGAGAGATGAAAGTGGAAGAGTGAAGGTGGCGAAGAGAAGACAGCTTTAAATGTTTGTCTATTAAAAAGCAAGTGGTCCAGTGAGGGTAGCTTTCTCCGCCGCTTACCAAATTTCTCTTCTCGTTGCCCTACACCACCTTTTTTTTCACTTCTTTCTTCTTCTCTTCCTCTCATCTCACAGGGTGTGCACTGCGCACTCCGCGCATGCTTCCTTCTTCTCCTTAACCAACACCTTCATTTCTTTCTCTCTTTCAATCAAAATTCTATTCTTTCGCAATCACACAACATTTTGATTTTAGTGCATGTATATGTATTCGTATAACTTTTCTGTGTTTTTCCTGTCCAGTTATGTTAATAATGTAGGAGACTACAAATTTGACGTACATTCCTATCCCACCAATCAAATCTCCATACCCCAACAAATTAATGAAAAAGGTCGACCATGTACCAACATTCTATGTAAAAAATAAAAATAAAAGAGAGAGAGAGAGTCGTTTTTGAATTTGAAAGAGCAAGAAGGTTTTGTGAGCGTGGGAAAGGGATCTATTAGGGATTCCACAAATGGTGGGGGATTGTGTGCGTGTAACTAGGTACAACTCTGAGACTTCATTAAAAGCACCTACATTTTTGAACAGGCTTGAAACTTGTAATTACATGCCACTCAACCAAGCTACGAACCATAGGGTGGTCCATCTTCACATTTATTTGCTTTATGCATATAAAAATAACTTTTCTTTATTCGTACACTATTAGATCGACCAGCATTAGAATATATGTGCCATTAGAAGCTAGGACCATCCTACTCCTATACTAGGGTTACTGTTATGTTCAAGCAGGGCAAATGGAAAATCATGCCACTTTTTTAATTGGAGGATCCATCGTGTCTCTATTTCAGAATGACAGAAGAGAAAGAGAGAGGGGCAAATACTTTTGCAAATCCACACCCACTAACCTACTTAACCCTGCTTTCATCATTAACAAAACAATAATAACATTCCTTACCTCCACTATCACATGCTTGCGCCTTATGTTGTATGCACCTTGCACTAATTCACATTGCTTTACATGTTATATGCATCGATGTGGTATTAATACCTTATTCACAAGACCTTCATACAATCAAATCTGTTAGTAACATACTAATTTTCACTGCTTAAATAAAATCTGTGTTCATTTTCATTTTATGAGAGCAGAATGAAGATGTTAAGCTCAAAAGTAACAAAGTGCATGTAATGATGAGCGCAAGTTGCGGGGCTGTTTTATTTGCTTACTCCGACGAAACATGACCACGCACTCACCGACACCAATAAAGTCAATACAAATGATAAGGCCGTTAACGAAACAACATGTTTTACGTGCGTCACCGGA